GGGGGGTGGGGGGTGGAGGGGGGGGGGGTCCGGGATGGAGGAGAGGGTGGGGATGGGATGGAGGACGGGATGGAGCTGGGGCAGGTTTGGGACGGGGCTGGGATGGAGCCGGTGAGGATCCAGGATGGAGGAGAGGGTGGGGATGGGATGGAGGATGGGATGGAGCCGGGATAGGGCAGGGATGGGGCTGGGATGGACCTGGGATGGGGCTGGGACAGATTCCGGATGGAGGATGGGATGGAGGCGAGGCTGGGGTTGGGATGGAGCTAGGATGGGCCTGAGATCAATCCACATGTGGAGCTGGGATGGATCTGCAGATGGATCCTGGATGGAGCCGGGATGGAGCCGGGATGGAGCTGAGGAAGGAGCTGAGATGGAGCTGGGATGGAGCCAGGATGGATCTGGGATGGAGCCGCGATTGATCCGCGGATGGAGCTGGGATGGAGCTGAGATGGATCTGCAGATGGATCTTGGATGGAGCCGGGATGGAGCCGGGATGGAGCCAGGGATGGAGCTGGGATGGAGCCAGGGACAGAGTTGGGATGGAGCCGGGATTGAGCTGGGATGGAGCTGAGGATGGAGCTGAGGAAGGAGCTGGGATGGAGCTGGGACAGAGCCGGGATGGAGCCGGGATGGAGCCAGGGATGGAGCTGGGATGGAGCCAGGGACAGAGTTGGGATGGAGCCGGGATTGAGCTGGGATGGAGCTGAGGATGGCCGAAGCGCGGCTCGCCCGGCGGGGGCTCGCCCGGCCGCGTCTTGTTGGTGTTGTTGTTGCGGTTCTCCTGCGGGTCCACCACCAGCGGCCGGTCCAGGTGCGTCTTCATGTCCGGGCGCAGGTGGCGAGCGTAGGGAACCTTCCAGCGCTCCTCGGGGTCCAGCTCGCTGTAGAGAGCCTCGCGGCTCGCCAGCAGGTTCTGCTTGCGCAGCTCGCTCGTGCGCTGCTCCCACACCGACTTGGAGGATTTCTGGTTCTTCTGCTGCTCCTTCCTGCGGCCCACGGGGGTGCGGGTGAGGGGACACAGATGGACACAGGGGGACACGAGGGGGACACGGAGAGGACACGGATGGACACGGGGGACACGTGGGGACACGAGGGGACACGGGCACAGGCGGGGCTCACTTGGTGACTTTGAAGATGCGCAGTAACCTGAGAGCTCGCAGCACGCTGATCCCAAAGGAAGTTCCCGGCTTCACAACGGCCCAGATCACCTCGAAGATGCTTCCGATGATAACCTGGGGGCGGGGGGCGGGGATCCCCGTCCTCTCCTGGATCCCAGATCCCAAATCCCATCCCAGATTCCAGATCCCAAATCCCAACCCAGATCCCAAATCCCAGATCCCAGATCCCATCCCAGATCCCAGATCTCATCCCGGATCCAGCAACACACAGGTTGTTGAGCACTGATGGGGATCCCCAGGGGGATTTGGGGTTCCCTGGGGGTCTCAGGGGTCCCAGGGGATTTGGGGTGATTTCGGGGGGTCTCTGGGGGTCCCGTGACTCACAGAGGAAGTCGGAAAGCCAATCTGGCTGGTCGTGGTGAACGACAGCAACACACAGGGTGTGGGGAGCTCTGGGGGATTTGGGGGTTTGGGAGCTCTGGGGATGCTCAGGGGTCTCAGGGGATTTGGGGGGGGTCCCAGGGTGATTTGGGGACGGTCCCGGGGGTCCCGTGACTCACAGAGGAAGTCGGAAAGCCAATCTGGCTGGTCGTAGTGACCGACAGCAACACACAGGGTGTTGAGCACTGATGGGGATCCCCGGGGGGATTTGGGGTTCCCTGGGGGTCTCAGGGGATTTGGGGTGATTTCGGGGGGTCCCGGGGGTCCCGTGACTCACAGAGGAAGTCAGAAAGCCAATCTGGCTGGTCGTAGTGACCGACAGCAACACACAGGGTGTTGAGCACTGAGGGGGATCCCCGGGGGGATTTGGGGGTTTGGGAGCTCTGGGGGTCTCAGGAAGTTTGGGGATGCTCAGGGGGTCTCAGGGTGATTTTGGGGAGTCTCTGGGGGTCCCGTGACTCACAGAGGAAGTCGGAAAGCCAATCTGGCTGGTCGTAGTGAACGATAGCAACACACAGGGTGTTGAGCGCTACCAGACTGAGCACGGTCCAGTAGAAGGCCTGAGTTTTCACCATGCGCCGGATGTGGAAGCGCACGCGCCGCTCCCGCCGCCCCAGGAACGTGGCGCTCTCCAGCTTGGGCCAAAAATGAGGGGGGGGTCCCAGGAGCTGGAGGGGTTCAGGGGGGGAATCTAATGGGTTTGGGGGGGCTTCAGGAGCCCCCAGTGGGTCTGGGGGGCTCTGGAAGAGCTCTGGGGGTCTGGGGGGGATTTGGGAAGGGTCTCAGGGGGTCTCAGGGTGATTTGGGGGGGTCTCTGGGGGTCCCGTGACTCACAGAGGAAGTCGGAAAGCCAATCTGGCTGGTCGTAGTGACCGACAGCAACACACAGGGTGTTGAGCACTGATGGGGATCCCCGGGGGGATTTGGGGTCTCTGGGGTCTCAGGGGATTTGGGGTGATTTTGAGGGGTCTCAGGATGATTTCGGGGGGTCTCTGGGGGTCCCGTGACTCACAGAGGAAGTCGGAAAGCCAATCTGGCTGGTCGTAGTGAACGATAGCAACACACAGGGTGTTGAGCGCTACCAGACTGAGCACGGTCCAGTAGAAGGCCTGAGTTTTCACCATGCGCCGGATGTGGAAGCGCACGCGCCGCTCCCGCCGCCCCAGGAACGTGGCGCTCTCCAGCTTGGCACTTTTGAGGCTGGCACGGGCGAAAGGGGACCCTGGGGACACCCGGGGCACGGGGTCACCGCGGGGTCACCTGTGTCACCTGTGTCAGCTGTGTCACCCATCCACCCCCCAAAAACCATCCCTGTGTCACCTCAGGGTGTTCCTGTGTCACCTGTGTCAGCTGTGTCATCTGTGTCACCTGTGTCACCTGTGTCACCTGTGTCACCTCAGAGTATTCCTGTGTCGCCTGTGTCACCCGTGTCACCCATCCACCCCCCAAAAACCATCCCAGTGTCACCTCAGGGTGTCCCTGCGTCACCTGTGTCACCTGTGTCACCTGTATCACCTGTGTCACCTCAGGGTGTTCCTGTGTCACCTGTGTCAGCTGTGTCACCCGTGTCACCCATCCACCCCCCAAAAACCATCCCTGTGTCACCTCAGGGTGTCCCTGTGTCACCTGTGTCAGCTGTGTCATCTGTGTCACCTGTGTCACCTGTGTCACCTCAGAGTATTCCTGTGTCGCCTGTGTCACCCGTGTCACCCATCCACCCCCCAAAAACCATCCC